TGCTCAAGTGTGAGACACTTGAGTTTGTCTCACAGTTTATTGGCTTTTGCTTTGTTTTGTTTTTTGAGTCTTTTTCCTATCTTGCTTTATTAAAAAGCTTTTTATTTCTCTGTCTCCAAATTCACTATACTTTTCTTCTGGAGTGTCTAATTTACTATTAATCAAATCCAGTGTATTTTCCATGTCAGACACTGCAGTTTTCATCTTTAAAAGTTCAGTTAAGCAGAGGGCATGGGTCAAGTGTTAGAGTACCTTCTTAGCAAGTGTAAGTCCCTGAATTCAAGCCCCAGTACCACCAAAAAAAAAAAAAAACCAACAAAAATTATGTCTTGTTTAGATCTTTCACGTTTCTACTCAACAAGATCAGTTTTCCGATAGCTTTTGGACATATAGAATAGTCATTAAAACTGTGTCAATGTCCTCATCTTCTAATCTTAAAATCTGTGCCTCTCTTTTATTCATTGATGTCTCCTTATGTTGTGAATTGTTTTCCTGTTTATTGCCATGCATGCCAATTTTTGATTGGATGCCAGGCATTATCTATCTTACCTCGTTAGGTGCTGGATATTTCTGTATTTCCATCTATTCTGGGATGCAGGAAAGTTTCTTGGAATCAGCTTGATTATTTTAGATTTTTCCTTTTGAGATTTGTTAGACATAATTGGATCAGCATTTCATTTATGTCTAAGTACTTCCAAGTAATGATACAATAAGACCCTTGTGAGCTCTAGGTTTTCCAGTCTAGCTGGTAGAAACAGGCTAAATTATTACTGTGACTATTTGATACTCTTCTCTCTGACCCTCTCAGATGGGCCTCTCCCTGGCTTTAGGTAGACTCCCCACATGTACTTGCTGATCACTCACATATTTGGGGGTCTATGTAGCTCTCCTGCATTCTTCCTCTTTGCAACTCTTTTCTGTAACTGTCTTGATTCCCATTCCCTACATCATGGCCTGGAATTTCTTTCAACGGTCTAAGTTCTGACAATTATGGGGCTCTAAGAATCAGTGTCTTTTATTTTCTGATGTTCTAAAACCACTGTTTTATATCTTTTCTCCAGTGTTTTATTTGTTTCAGGTAGAAAGGCAAATTTAATCCTTGTTAATACACCTTGGTGAAATGCAGAAGCATTAGACTCTTTGTGTTTAGATGCAGGGAAGTTAATGTCAGCTCATTTCCTGGTTTTGTAACCTTTGTAAATTGCCTAACTTTTCTGAGTCCCTTTTTTTAAAAAAGTGCAAAATGGTAACAATAATGTCACAATGATAAAATTACATTTATAGAAAGCATTAAGCACAATGCCTGGTCTACATTAAAGAATAATGAAGACCATTTTGTTATCTAGATTAATGGTTTACATCAGATGATCTTTGCAGGTAATTTCAGATCTAAAATTCTATAATTTTATTAATTCAGTTGTTAAAATTCCATAGCACAATTTTAAAGATTAAAGTGTGCCCTCAATATTCTCTTTAGCAATATACTTATTATCCATCTATCTCTCTATATATTGCAAATAGATATTATATAATTTATACTTCATCCCTGTCAAATTTTATATTTTGAATGTTACTCCTTTTTACTTTACTAAGAGTACAACACATTAAGAACTAAGACATTGGCTCTCTCACTTGAAAAATAATTCAGGATGTTTTTGCCTCCCTTTAAATAGGAATCTACTATTGCTTTTCCTTCCTCCCTTCCTCCCTCCCTCCCTTCCTACTTCCTTCCCTCTCTCCCTCCCTCCTAACCTCCCTTCCTCCCTCTCTTTCTCTCTTTCTTTCTTTCCTGTTTTTGGAATCTACTATTTCTTGAAGTAAACTTCACCCCTGGACTTTCACTATCAATCCAGTTACTTCATCTAGGAAGTGAGGTTGTTTGTTTTAAAAGAGTCTATGTACTACTTCAAATGAGGTCAATAGTCCAATTCTAAAATGCTTCTGACTAACATTCTGATGTTACATTTAAGAAAATATTTTGGTGATAATATAAGAAAATATTTGGTTGGAATTTGTCAATTGCACTAAAAAGTGATAGTCAATAGGTGAAGTGAAGTGGTTATGTAACTTGTCCAGCTGATAGATTTTTTTTAATTTATAAAATTTTAACTGACTAGTAACAATACTGTGCATTTAGAACCTTTTTTTTGTTTTTGTTTTTGCAGTATTGAGGCTTAAACTCAGGGCCTGCACCTTGAGCTACTCCACCAGTCCTATTTTTGTGAAGGGTTTTTCAAGATAGGGTCCCATGGACTATTTGCCTGGGCTGGCTTCACACTGCAGTCCTCCTGGTCTCTGCCTCCTGAGTAGCTAGGATTACAGGTATGAGCCACCAGCGCCAGGCTGGAACCAATTTTAAAGGTTTATCATGCACATTAATTTGCTTTCTTTGCATCAAAGCAATACTTGATATAAAAATCCATGACAATTAGTAAATACAGTTATTTAAAAATGTGCCATCCTTGTTGCATAGCAACTATTGATCTTATAATGTGCCTTTTACATACTCTAAAATAATTAAACACAGGCACAAATTGCTATCCACTTTTTTAATGTTAAAAGCATTTAAGTTATGAAGTTTATTCTAATAAGTGTATTATATATTTGTAAAGAGAACATTTCATTCCTATGCAAAGGCACAGTGACCTAAGAAAGAGATGACAATGTCATGTTAGTGATTCTCCTCTGTCGTGAGAGGACTTTTAGGGAACTTTTTATTCATAGTCTCAATTGCTAACACAGCCAAGACATAATTATCACTCCCTGGCTTTACTGGTCTGGATCTTGACTTAGTGCTGGTAAAATGGTAACACTTACTAACATGAAGAAATGTTTATTTATACTATGGAAAATTATATATGCCAAAAGACATCTGTGATATAATTAATATATAGAAAGGTATCATGGTCTTAGTAAGAACTTTGGAATTATTACATAGGATAATTTTCATAATCAGATTAGCACAAAGCAAGAACATAAATGCTTTTATATTATCAGGTGCTAACTTGATCTACACCTCAGGATCGGGGAACAGTGAACAGGAATAGTAGAGTGAGTGATTTTTTTTCTCACAGACCTCCAGAGAAATGTATCTGAAAACCCCAATGGAGTGTGAGTGTGCAAAGGCAGGAAAGTTCACTCCACAGTCTAAGAGGAGGGGCTTAGGAGTTTGAGAAAAGGGAAAGATATGGTGGGAAGGGTGATAAAGGAGAGTGGTAGAAGGAGTAAATTCAAGAATGATATATTTGATACATTATAAGAACTTTTGTAAATGCCACAATGTAACCCACCCAACACAACATTTTTTTTAAAAAGAGGAAAACAATAAAATAAAAAGAAGAAAAGGGAAGGACTGCCAAATCTCTATCCATGTTAATTCTATCAGAGAAATTTCCTAATCAAAAGATGATGCAAATTGACAAACTGCTTTCTAAAAGGTTGCTTTGATGTCTAGTCCCTTAAAGAATAAGTAGGAGAGACTATTTCACTAGATCTTCACAAGAGTGTCAAAAACAGTTCTATCAATTAATTGGATGGATTATAAGATAAATCTCTTATTTTGAATTATTAGGTTGTTCATCTTCTTTCTGAATTTTCAAACATGGATCAGTAGGATAGGGAAATGAAAACAGACCAGTGAATTAAGAACAGTAAGGCTTATAAAAATTAGAATTAAAGAATTGTGTGACTTAGAGAAGAAGGGAAATAAAAGTCTCGTGCTACAAAGTTAGGTCAGAATGGGACACTTACAGATAGCAACTTTAGTCCACACTCTCAGATTGTATTTTCACTCATATGGTAATATAGCTATAGTGATCGCTTTTTATTATATCCTGACAAGGGAAGAGGTATTGACTTATAGAGGACTGGTACTGGCTGAGTATGTTTGAAGACTGGAAACAGAAATGACTGAACCAGACATGACACCTAGAGGGTTTCAGTCTACTGGATGACAGAGTGGAGAAATACTGGTGAAGATGTTCTGCTTGTTGCTTAAGGTTGTAACCTATAGGATCTAGTCCACAAGGAGAAGTAAGTTGTCTGGATTCTAGTCAAACCATCTAAATTTCAGTTACCAGCTCCAGCTGTAGAGAAAAACTTAAGGTATACTAAGAAAACAGTGCACTGAGGGTGTGGCTCAGCAGTAGAGCACTTGCCTAGCATGTGCAAGGCCCTGGTTTGATCTCCAGCACCACAAACAATGGACAACCACACAGAACTGAGGGAGAAGGCCAGTGCTAGGCACAGTTACACATTGGGGAAGAGAAGGAGTTGGAAAGTGTACAGGAGCCAATCAAGGAACACTGGAAGTTTATGGCAGGGAGATGTTATTACTATGTGACGACTAGACCCTGTGGATGGCTTGAGAAGGTAGAGACTCACAATGTAAGAAATATGATTTGTATTATTTAAAATTATAAAAGTAATACATATTTGTTGTTGAAACTTTGAAAAATAGAGAGAAATCCCAAGACAAAAATGAGTGTAATTTTTTCATACTCTAAGAGCAAACATGTCTTTGTAAATAATAGCAAGCTAAGTTTACTAATTTTACTTTGCAGTGGTAAACATATCAAAAGTTTAGACTGAACAATTTTAAGTCATTTTTCATTCTCTTATATTATCTTTTTATTGGCAAAGCAGTGAAGTTATAAGAGTTGATATTTTCCTGTCTTTAAGAACACGATCAATGTAAATTCTGATACTTGATGGGAAAAAAAGTAAACATTTAAAAGTTAAAATTATGCTTCTAAGTAAAAACAAAAGGCTATCTAAATCTTACAAGATTTCAAAATTTGTTTTTAATTTTTTGTTTCCTGTTATGCTGTCTAATATTAGAAAATACACACATCAGAAATATATTTGGTATTAGAAATTCCAGAAAGAACCAAAAGTATGTAAGGAAGCAAAGGAATCTATCTGGAATAGTATTCTGGCAAATAGATAGAATTTTTAAAAGGCAAGAAAGCCACATCTGATGAAAGCCACACTACTGTTACCTTTTCCCTCCAGTTATCATCACTCAGCAGCTTCTGTCTAAGGGTTTCCTGCAGCTGCTCGATGCTTTTCTGATGTGAAATCAGCATCAATTCCCTGAAAACCATAAACCCAACAAATGAGTCAAGACTCACCCCTAACAGAACTATACTTGCCAGTGTAGTTCTTGGCTTAGAGAATAATATTCTTTATACCTTAGTCTGTCCGCTCTCTGTAGCAATATATATTTTGCTACTGCATACCATTTTAGTTGTTAACGGTAATTTACAAACACTAAACAGGTGAAATTTTCCTTAATCATTAATAAGTTATTATTTTTGCATGAAATAGTAACAACATACATGGAGTCACAATATAATAAAATGTTGTAAATTGTGGTTCAAAAAGTTTATGACTAGATTCTAACACCAGACAATATTTTTGTTCTAAAAAAAGAAAATATGTTGGTATATGCCATAAAGTCAATACATTTTCAGTTTCTGCAGAATTTGTTTTTTTTCTACTGATCTCAAATACTGACAGGAGCAAACAGACAATAATATAAGGAGTGAACTACAGTACAAAGCATATTAGAAATTAGAAAGGAAAGCACAAGTAACACTTTAACATTTTGATCTACATAAATGTATTATTTTTGTTTTGCCTTTTGAGAAGGGTCTTTCTATGTAACACAGGCTGGCCTCAAATTCATGATCCTCTTGACTCTGCCTCCCAAGTGCTGGGATTACAGACCACAAATAAATCACAATGCTTAGTTTATGATCATCTAGATGGAGGTAAGGATGGAAGATTTATGAGAAAATTTCACAGGAGCACTTAAATTAAAACCTTAAATATCACAAGTAGTAAGGAAAGCATGTCTGTTGATCAGAGCTTCTTCCCTCTTGAGAAGTCTCCATACTCTTCTTATTTTCTATGTAGGCGATGCTCTTCTTTTGCTTATTCCTTCTTCTAATCCCTTCATTTTCTATCATTCTCTTTCTTTCAGTTCTGACCCCTTTTCTCAAACTTGTGACTTTCATGTATAACTATGTATTGGGCATTTCAATACCAGTGATTCATCAACACCAAAGATTTTACACATCAAAAAGCAAATTCATGCCAAGAGTTGTGGGACATACTGTCACCCCAGCATTCAGGTGGCTGAGGCCGGAGGATGGCGAGTTCCTGGCCAGGCTGGGCTATCTCAACACAACAAAGAACAAATTCACCACCATCTCCTTCAATCATTCCTTTCTTTTACTTCTGATAACCTTCAATGTTCGAAAACCTTGGGCTTGAAATTTCTGAGTCACCTCTTACTTGTTATTCTCCCTGTTCTATCACATCCCTTTAAAAGCAAAAGGCCACAAATCTCAACAATTAAAAAAAAAATCAAGTAATCTGGCTGAAGGCCTTGCTCAAGTGGTAGAACACCTGCCTAGCAAGTGCAAGGCCCTGAGTTCAAATCCCAGTACTGCACGCACACACACACACACACACACACAAAGAAAAACCAACAATAAAAGTCCACCTAAAATCATACTGAGTATCTTTTCCAGCCACAATGCAGTAAAACTACAAATCAATAACATGAAAAACTTTTAAAACTATGCTAATACATGAATACTAAACTACCTGTGGGCCAAAGAAGTCAAGAATGAAAATTTAAAATTTCTTGAAGCAAAGAAAAATTGAGACATAACATACAAAAACCTATGAGATACAGCAAACATAGTACTAAGAGGTGAGTTTATAGTCATCAGTTTCTAAATAAAAAAGACAGAAAGAACTCAAATAACATAATGCTGTATCTCAAGGAACTACAAAAAAAAGAACCAACCAAATCCAAAATTAGCAGAAGGAAAGAAATAAGATCAGGACAGATACTAAGTAAAATAAATGAAATAGATAATAAAAATGCTAAAGATCATAAAAACAAAGAGCCAGTTTTTTGAAAAGGCAAACAAATTTGACAAGCCCTTAGCTAGTTTAACTATGAAAAAGAAAGAAAAGACTCAAATAAAATCAGAGATGGAAAAAGGAGATATTATGACTGATACTGTAGGAATAATAAGGTCACTAGAAAGTATTATGAATAACTATATGCCAATCAATTTGATAACCAAGAATAATGTATAAATTTGTGTACACATACACTTTACCAAACTTGAATCACAAAGAACAGAAAAATTGAACAGAAGAACAAATAATGGGGTTGTATCAATAATAAATTCTCCCATCAAGAAAAAGCCCAGGCCCAGATGGAATCACTGCCCAATATTTAAGGACAACTGTTGGCAATTCTTAAACTATACCAAAAAATTGGAGGAGGGAATTTTCTCAAGCACATTGTATGAGGCTACCATTATCCTGATACCCAAACCAGACAAGAACACAACAGAAATGGCATGCTAAAGGTCAATATCCTTGATAAATATGGAAGCAAAAATCCTCAAAAAAATACTATCAGACTGTATCCAGCAGCACATCAAAAAGATTATTTACTACGCTCTAATGGAGTTAATCCTAGGGATGGAGGATAGTTTGATATATAAAAATCAGTAAACATAGTAATTCACCATATCAACAAAATAAGGACAAAAACCATATGATCATCTCAATAGATGCAGAAAAGGTATTTGGTAAAAATTCAACATCTCTTCATGATAAAAACATTGAACAAATTAGGAATAAAAAGAATATACTGCAACATAATAAAGGCCATATATAATAAGGCAATAGTTAACCTTAAACTGAATGAGAGGTTTTCTAAGATCTAGAACAAGACAAGGATGACCACATTCACCACTTGTATTTAATATACCATGTTTGATACGTTAGAAGAAATGGAAGACTGATTTAATTGATTAATGAAATTTGAAAAAGAATCAAACTGAACTCGTAGCAATGAAAAACACAATAATTTAAATTATAAACACAGTGGGGAGCTGGCAGAATGGCAAAGTGGCTCAAGCAGTAAGAATGCCTGGCAGGCATTCTTGGGGCTTACTAGGCAAAAAGAAAAAGAAAACACACACACACACACACAGTGGATGGTCCTACAGAAGATTATTCTGTAGGTCTACAGAAGATTATTAAAAAATGAAATAATAAACTGAAAGATTTAAAGAAATTATACAGAATATAGTATGGGAGTAAAAAGTGTGGAAAGTATAAATGAAAATTTGAGTATGGAGGACATACTTAAAAGATCTAATTTTTTCAGTTCATTATTTCAGAAACAAAAGAGAAAGAAAAGGGGAGGAAGCAGCATTGATTAAAAAAAATACCAACTTACAAACTCAGGAAATTTACTGAATTCCAAGCAATATAATAAAAATAAATTCTACATCTGGGCATCTCATAGTGAAGATGAAGAGCACCAAGTAAAAGAGATCTTAGAAGAAGTTGGGATAGAAAATCTTCAAAGGGACTTAACTATACTGGAAGCTTATTCTCAACAGAAACAAAAGATGGCAAAAAGAAAAAAAAAATTCTAAGTCCTCTGAGAAAATAACCATTAGCATAACACCAGGTACTGAGCAGAGATCTTTCAGAATGAGGTTGAAATAAAAACATACTGGGATAAACATAGCCTATAAAGTTTTGAGAGTTTACCTCCAACTCAAGAATTTTAAGTAAAAGAGCTTCTGAATAGCTGGGTGAGGTGGTACATGCCTGTGGCTCCAGCTACTCTGGAGGCAGAGATAAGAAGAACGCAGTTCAAAGCCATCCCAGACAAGATCATGAGACCCTATTCAAAAACAAACCAACCAACAAAACACACAAAGGGCTGGGGCGGAGAACAGAGTTCAAACCCCAATACCACCACCACCACACCAAAAAAAACATACTTTGCAGGAAAGAATATGATCTCAGAATGAAAGTCTAAGTTAGGAAAAAGAGTAAGCAAAGAAACTGGCAAACACTAAGATAGGGAGGGCTTCTAGGTATGTGTCAAGAGCAGTTGTACGAAGCCCTCAGTTCAGATGGGGACTCTATGCTTCAGGTTTTTATGCTCTGCAGTCACCATCCTGAAATTCTTAAGAATTTTATCATTGTATTTGTGGTTTTACAGTGAAGTCTGCTAGTTCAATCAAGCAAGAGCCTCAACCTGAGATCATCTTACCTCTTGCCTTCCCCCCTGAAAATTATGTAGTTAGCCTTGCATGTAGTAAATGTAAACTAATATTGTCTGCATACAATAATTTTGATTATGTGTAATTAGAGGGGCTAGTAAAAAGAGAACTAGAAAACTGGACAAAAATGTAGGATGATAGCTTGAGCTTTCAGAGCTCAAGCGCTCTTTCATTTTTGCATTATTCAAGAAGAATTTAAGATATTAATTTTAGACTTCATTAAGTATGTATGTATGTATGGTAAGATTTCAAGATTAATCACTAAAAGAATAGAAATAAAATATTATACTAATTACTACTACCAATTACTAAGTACTATTTAGTACTACTATTTCCAATATCATTAGTGGAAAAATGCCTAAGAAAATGGACAAAACTTCAACAATTCTCCCCAAAAGGCCTAAAATGAGAAAATGAGGCAGAAAAAGAACGAGAAATCGGAAGCTTAAATTAATCATTACAATGGGAAAAGAATTTGAAGAACAAAACAGACTTGTTAATTAATGTTTTTTAGAAAAAACATTTCTGCTGGGCACTGGTGGTTCATGTTTGTAATTCTAGCTACTTGAGAGGCTAAGATCAGGAGGATTGTGGTTTGAGGCCAGCTCTGGCAAAGGGTTCATGAGACCTCATCTCCAAAATAACCAGACCAAAATGAACTGGAGGTGTGGCTGAAGCGGTAGAGCACCTGCTTTGCAAGCACGAAGCCCTGAGTTCGAACTCCATCACTCCAAAAACAAAAAAACCCCAAAATTCAGAAAGAGAGAGAGAGAGAGAGAGAGAACCCTAAAATAAGGACATGAAAAGTTTGGAAAAGATACAACAGGGATATATTAAGGGTAAGGAAGAGTAAAGTATATTATCATCAAGCAAACAGACTTTAAAGCAAAGACCATTATTGGGAACTAAAAATGATAACAGGTTTAATTTGCTGTGAATATTCTAAACTTACATTCACCTATAAAATAGCCTCAT